GGGGGATGATTTCATTGGGATCCTCACGCCCCTTTGCTGCCGCAGCCCCAGCTCTGCTCACAGCAGCAGGTTGCTCAGTCCGGGGTTTGTCTCCGCGTTGGATTGTGCTCTGGGGGCAGCAGGCTCTGGGTTCACGGGGTGAACTCCTCAGCACTCGGTCTGGCAAGTGGGTTTCCCTTGCAGGAGCCGTGTGGGGCAGGAGTGTGCAGCTCTCGGGGGAGGGGAGGGTGGGTTGAGCCCGGGAGAATTCGTGTGAAGGGGTCGTGGTTAGAGCAGAGAGCTCAGGGAGGGCTCTGGGGGCCTTGGTCTGTCCTCAACCACCCTTTTAGCCCCCACGTTCACACCGGGAGAGAGCAGCAGGAAAACTCTTTGACTTTTTCACTGTGGAGTCATGTCACTTTCTCTCTCTCCAGGTTTTTTGAAGCTGAAGGCTGTGACAGCTGCCCCCAGCTCCTGGCATGGCAGAGCAGAGGCGCCTGGCCTACTCCATCATCCAGTTTCTCCACGACCAGCTCCAGAATGGGGGCCTGTCCCCAGACGCCCAGGAGAGTTTGGAAGGTTGGTGCTTGTTTGCTCTGCCTGGCCCTACATCTGTCAGCCTGAGGAAACTGGGACACCACAACTCACTTCTGCCTCTTGCTTGGCTGGGCTGCTCCTGGCATCAAAGCTTGATGAAGATTTGTAATGAATTTCAGGAGGTATCCCAGGTGTCAGGGATGCTCATTGCTGCTCTGATTTCTTGTTGTCTCTTCCCAAAGCAGATTAGCTTGAGAAAGGGCTATACCCTGCAGCAAAGACCTCCCCTGACCCTGGGCTGGAGGCTTAAAAGTTTTATCTTAGCTGAGGTGGAGTCAGGAGGCTGGTGGTGGAAGGTGAGGGAGCCATTGTTCTGTGGAACCATGCTGAGAGCAGAGAGCTTGTCCTGCTCTGCTATCAAAGTGCACACCCTGGAGTGTTTATCCAGGGTTTTCTGAGGGCCTTGCAGGTGGTGAGAGCACGCTGGGCTTAGGAGAGCTGCCTAAGGAGCTTACCCTCAGCCTCTGGCTCATCCATGTGTCCCACTGCAAGGCACGTGGGCACGTCTGCAGAGCCCTGGGAACGTTCCTGGGAGAGGCAGGAGTGAAGAGGGAGCAGGAGGAGGGTCTGTTGTGTCGTGGGGACCCTTCATGTGTTAGCAGCAGCTTCCTCAGAGGTCCCTGGTGAGGAGGAGGTGGCTGGTTGGTGGCTGTGCCCCTCGGGGTGGCTGCAGCTCTTCACAGAGCAGCCACCCACTAGCAGGTGAATCGGGCAGGTCTCTCCCTGCCCTGTGCCACCCTCAGCTGGGGGAAGGCCAGTAAAGCCCCAGCTGGGTTAGATTTTACCCCCAGCACCTTCTCTAGAGCTGCCTGAGGGGTGGGAGCTGTGACTGACTCCATGCAGGAGCTTCATCTCCAGAGCTAAGGTTTGCTGAGCTCTGAGGAACTGTCTGGTTTGGGTTGTTTTTTTCCTGTTTTTGTTCAACAGTAAGAACTTCAGGTGCTGTGGGGGGAAGTTAAGGGTTTAGATGAGTGAGGGAAGCTGATAATTACCTGGCTCTTCTTGTCCAGTGGCCATCCAGTGCCTGGAGACGGTGTTTGGGGTCTCCATGGAAGACCAAGGCCTAGCTGTGTCCCAGACCCTGCCTGAAATATTTGAAGCTGCTGCAGGGAAGGTGAGCCAGAGCCCCAGACTGTGCTGAGCTTCTGTTTAAGCCTCCAAAACGAGGCTCTGCTTGATTTTGGGGGTGGGGGTGAGATGGTTTGGGCTTGGCACGGCGTTTGGGGAGTTGGAGGTGATGTGGCTGGGCAGGAGTCCTCACCCCAGTGTCCCCCCTTCCCTTGCCAGGAGCTGGAACACAGCAGGACACACTCAGAGCCTGTCACCCCCTCTGAAGATGACATAGCTGAAGCTGAAAGGCTCAAGACTGAAGGTGACCTGTGGAGCTGTGTGTGAGGTCTGGGGGTGGGTGGGGAGGAGGGTTCATTCCACAGCTCCTGGGGGGTGCCTGGGAGAGGGGGTGCAGAGCACAGACCCACCCTTCCCATCCTGCTGGTGCTGCAGGAGCTGTGTGGGTTGGGGCCATTCACCTGCCCCTGGGGGTGAGATCCATCCCCAGTGTCAGCAGGACACAGCTATTCAGCTTTCACAGCCAGCAGAGGGGGAAAAAGACCAGTAAGGGGCATAATTAATTAGCTGTGGGTTCCTCTGGGTGGTGTTCACTCGTTAACGAGCTTTTCCACCCTCCTTGTAGGAAATGAGCAAATGAAGGCAGAAAACTTTGAAGCTGCTGTGTCTTTCTATGGCAAAGCCATTGAACTGAATCCATCCAATGCTGTGTACTTCTGCAACAGGTACTGGGGGGTCTTTCTCTTGTACCCCTGTGGGATTTTTCCTTACTACTAAGACTCCTGAGCACTCAGAATCCCTTTTTATGATGATTCTCTAGGCTGCTTGTTCTGTTGGTTTCTCTGAGGGGGGTTTTTAAGCTCCCAGTGACACGTTTTCCTGTGCCTCCTGCCAGCTCTGTGCCCTGGCACCTCTAGATAGGATGTGGGTGTGGAAACAAACTCCCTTGGGCGTTTGAGGAGACAGGAGGATGCCAAGAACTCCTCTCTGCAGCTACTTGTGAGACCCAGAGCCCAGGTTTGAGAGGCTGTGCTGGGAACACAGGCAAGGGAGTGAAGTGAGACAAGTTGAAGGCTTGTTATTGGGAATTACCTCATGAGATGTGTGTGGGAAATGGGGTGTGTGAGGGGATTCCCTGCAGTTCTAAGGAAAAGTGTTTGAAACTTGGTGTGGAGGCAGCTGTGGAATAAATCAGCCTGTTGGTCAGGGCCTGGTTTGGTTCTGAGCTTGCTGGGGGTACCCACGTGCAGCTGCCACAGGAGTAACCTGTGCTGGGGTGTGTCTTGGGGCAAGGAGCTGGTGCTTTGGGCTGACCTTGGCTTCAGCTGCACGAGGGTCAGTCCCAGGAGGGTTTTGGGCTGGTGTCCTTCAAGAAGAGTTGAGAGTTCAAGGCTGGGACAAACATTATGGCTTCAAACCCCAGTTTTCCCTCCTGTGTGGGGGGAATGGGGGAGGTGGTTGCTGTGGCTGAGGCACAGTCAGGCTCAGAGAGGCTGCCTGAGGTAGTTGGTGATATTTGGTGCCCTCCCGTGGCCCAGGCTCCACGGGGAAGGTCCATGGGGAGCAGTGAGAGCCTGGATTTGTTTGTGGCAGGAGCAGGAGGTGGAGCTGGGTGCTTGGCCAGCAGCCTGCTCGCCCAGATCCAGCATCTGAGATAGGGATTTACGTCCCCTTGGTGCCTTGTACAACAGGAAACTGCAGGGAGGGAACAGGGTGACCTTCATTGAAGCTGATAAGTCTTTTCTGCACCTCTTTCTCCCTCCCTTCCAGAGCTGCTGCTTACAGTAAACTGGGAAATTATGCTGGAGCAGTGAGAGACTGTGAAAGAGCCATTGGCATCGACCCCAACTACAGCAAAGCCTACGGCAGGATGGGGTGAGGGGGAGCTGGGGCAGCTCCTGGGGTGGCAAACCTCAGCATCCCTGCTGGCAGTGCTGCTGGCAGGGGTGTTCTGCCCCAGAACACTGCAGAAACACCTCCTGGGGCTGCAGGGAGGCTGCAAGGGCTGGGCTGACTCTCTAACCCTGGGTTTTCTTTAACAGCCTGGCCCTCTCCAGTTTAAACAAACACACAGAAGCTGTTGTTTACTACAAAAAAGCCCTGGAGCTGGATCCAGAAAATGACACGTACAAATCAAACCTTAAAATAGCTGAACAGAAGATGAAGGAGACTCCCAGTCCAGTAAGTTCTGAAATGGAGACATGGGGGAGACCAGGAGGAGCTTCTCCACTGGGAGAGCTGCTTGGTGCTGCCTGGCAGAGCCCCAATGACCTGGGCTGTGTTTAGAATAGGAACCTTGTGGCAGACAGAGGGGAGATGGTTGGTGCCATGAACATTTCCACTCAGATCCAGGGGGCAGCTCCACTGCCTGAGCACAGTCACCTTGGGCTTATTTGGGAGAGCTGGAAAATGAGGCTGAAGTGAGAAGGGAGGGTTTTGAAACAGCAATTCTGCCTTAAGCACCTTTTTTAATTAAAGTCATCACTCCTAAAATCCAGCTCTTCTTTTTTTTTTTTTTCCTAGTGACCTGTTGGAGCTACTAAAAGGCTTTTTTTAGGTGGTGGGGTTTTTTTAGGTGGCTTTTTTTCTTCACAAGGTTGTTTTTTTAAGGAAAGAAGCCTGGAGGTTTCCTAGCTGGACAGCACTGATGTGCTGCATCATTTTGGAGGGGATTGAAATTTTCTGAAGCCTTCTCCAGCACAGAAGCAAGGGGAGGGTGTGTTTGGTTTGGCAGCTGCTGGGGGTCGTGGCTGGACACAGCTCATGGTGAGAGGGGGGGTCAGTAAGTGTGACACAGACTTCTGCCCTTTCACTGCCCTGGGAGCCCAGTCATGAGCCTGGCCATGGCTCAGAGCTTGGCAGAGAGGGCAGGACAGAAACTCTCCCTTTTGGCACAGTTTAAGGGCTGGATCCTGATGGTGCTGGGAGTCAAGTGTTGGTTGTCACGTGCAGCAGGGAGTGAGAGGACATTGTGGTTTCTCTCTTCTTGCAGACTGGTGGCCCAGGAGGATTTGACTTAGCTGGCTTGCTGAACAACCCTGGCTTCATGAGCATGGTAAAGCTGGAGCCAGGGCTGGGGGCTGTGCTGGGCTGGGCTCTGTCAGTGTGTGTGTGTGTGGGGGGCTCTGGGGCAGGTTGCTTCTCACACTTTGGTTTCTGTGCTGCTGTTTTGTGAAGAGCTGGGGAGTTCCTCCCAGGCTGCTCCTTGCCTGCTGCTGGCTGTGGAAAGGTGCCTGTTCTGCAGCCCAGCCCTGGCCTGGCTGCTGCCCTGTGCTGCTCCTCATTCCCCCTGTCCTCTGGCCTCTCTTTTGAGGCATTTCTGCCTTCTCTTTGTAGCTGAGTGGCACAACATCTGCAGCTCTGCCTGGTCCCTTCCCACTAAACAGGGTGTCATTTTCTTCTCCCCTTTCTAAACAGGCATCCAACCTCATGAACAATCCACAAGTACAACAGCTGTAAGTGTGATTCCAGCTCGTGTTTCCTCTTTGAATTGCTGCTCTGGGGCTCTCTGTGTTTGGCAGTTGGTCTGAACTGGTGGCAGGGGGAGGGTGCTTGGGCCAGAAGTCTGGAGGGCAGCCTTGAAAGCAGCCCAGCTGCCTGAGCCAGTGGATATTTTGGGTTCTCCAGACTATGCTGAGGGAGGATCTTGGTGTAAACGTTTGCAGGAGGAGGGCAGGATAGATGCTGCCACTGAATTTGGGCAGCCTGGGGTCAGCTCAGCCCTGCTGTGCAATGGTTGTGACCTGGAGATGGGATTTCACAGCTCCATCTGGGGTAGAGTGAGAACACTGTTCATTCTCTGTGCTGCAGGGTGAGGAGGATCAATTCCCAAGGTTTGTGAGGTGCTTAGAGAATATAAAGTCATAAAATTAATCAGCCATGTAAGTCTCCTGCCCATCTTTGCACAGCTCAGGTAGGAAGGGAGTTAGAGACCTGGAGCTCGTCCTTCGACCCCATCTGGGTGGGAGGGTGCTCCCTTCACACTGTTGCTCCTTTCCTGGTGTAAACCAAACCCTCTGGGGGGTTGTTTCCCAGCTCTGAGCACTGACTCTTTCCACAGCATGTCCGGGATGATTTCTGGTGGGCACAATGCCATGGGAGGAGCTGGTGCCAACCCTGCCACCAACGACCTTGCCAGCCTCATCCAGGCGTGAGTGGGGAGCTGCCTGTTCCTGGGGGGGTTTGGGGGCTGCCTGAACAGAAGTGGAACCTCCAATTAGTGGTTGAGGAAGGGTTAAATGTTGAGTGAAGTTCTGCCTCGTTTGGGGATGTGAATTGCTTGAGAGAGGGAAGGAGAATCACAAAGTTCATCAAGGGTGAGTGTCAGGTCGTGCACCTAGAGAGGACTCATCCCCTGCCCCAGCACAGCCCAGGGGTGACCTGCTG